ATATATATATATATATATATATATATATAATATAATATAATATAAAGGTTTGAAGGATTAAAAGGGTAAAACAAATGGCAATGAATGGTGTTGAAACTCCCTTAATGCGGACATGGATGGCAAGTAAGAAGGTTTGAAGGATTTGTAGCAGGTGAAAGAAACCACGCCTTGGAGGACAAGGAACTGTGAGAGGTTTAGTGCCTTTAAATATACTTTCAATGATGACCACATTTAGTCTTATCACAAACATGTCACATAAGCACCGTATATAGAAAAATATGATTTAGAAGCATCCATTACTCAAGTCAAGCTCGGAGGAGACCCCAAGTCCTTCCCTCCGAGTTCTTCTGCTTTCCTACTGCCCCTGCGAAAAATAAAGACTGGGAGAAGGAAGCAACCAAAGAAAGAAAACGAGTTTTTGTTCTTCTCAGAGTGGCGTGCCTTTGTAAACAAGACTTGGCACACAGTTCAAAGGTCAATGGTTGAGTTCGCAGTCCTGTAGTTGGTACGAAAAACAAAAATATAATCTATACAATGACTTAGATGGCATTTCCAAGTAATTGGAAAAGCTTATGTTTGAGGCACTGATCATTAGAGAGACTTGACGGATTAATTGTATTCTCTTTGCTCTGTCAAGTATGATTTTGTAGCACAACTTTGACTTTCCGAGTGGGCTGACTTCATATGCTTACATATGGTTTACCAACTCTTGTCCGCGTAATACAGACGTACTCGGCAAAATATCCGTGTTGTTTGAATGTAATAAACGCAGGTGCTGCCGCTGCCGACTGTGGTGATGATACCTGACATCTTACATCCCACACCTTTGGAGTGTGATGCTGTCATTCCTGTATCTAATAGCAACTTGATCATCGTCTGGTATGAGATATGACAGAGTGGTTGTCGGGAACTGTTCTTGCTAGACTTCCATATCAGATCACAGATGAATTTTGCATACACGTTGATGTTTCTATTCCAAGGAAAACAAGGTACATCGATGAACAGTACATTGCCATGTTAGAACCCCGAGTTAAGCGCATGCAGGCACAACAACAATGAGAGCTCCTTTAAGCCTCCGGTTCATACCTCCCAGATGTCAAAGCTGCCGGCAACGAAGTTGTAATGTGCCCCGATCAGTTTCAGTGTTTTCTTCTCCAGTCCATCTTTGACGAAGGGATACGTCTTCAGGTTGTGGAGAGAGACGTTCACTGCCTCCTGCCAAGGGTCGAAGAGAATGGCATCAGTCAGCAACACAATAGCCAAAAGCAAACCTCTCTTTCCGATATCAACAGCTCAAAACATTTCAACCAAAAAAAGTCTTCTCTGCTGCTGTTGACAGTAATCATCATATTCCACTATCCTCGTAGCCAAGAAGCAGTAGCAATTTTACATCTGCTAAAATTAGCTTGAGAGAAGGTGAATGTAACCTTTGCACATTGCTTACTTGTATGAACTAGAAAGTATCATTGTAAAAAAGGAAGAGAAGAACACCTTTTCGCAATGGGTGCATTGATCCTCGAAGGGCAAGGCTGAGTGATTTGCTTTCACCTTCTCCAATGCTGGCAAGCAGACCTTCACCCAGTCCTCTATGAAGGCACTGATCACAACCAGATAAGGAGGATCATTTGGTCGGAATTCCCAAGAAATTTGGAGGAAATTCCAATCTATTTCATCTTTCAAGAAAAAAGAGTCAACACTAATGCTGCCAATTACTGAAAGATGAAAACAGAGGTGATGTTTCTTACCTGCTTCTGGTGCCATCTTCTTTGATAGACATAAGCCCCTTAATTCCACCGCAACGACTGTGGCCGATCACCACAATGTTCTCAACCTGCCCAAGATTAACAGAGTCGGTATTTATTCTTCTAATGATCATTAAACTCTTTATGTATTTATCCTTCTGTCGATCCATCTCTCGAGAAAAGAAAACAAATGAAAGATGGGGGGCCAAAAGGACAAAGCAATAATGTAATCGACTGCTGGACCTTGAGATGGAGGACGGCGTACTCGATGGCAGCCCCAACCCCGGAGTATCTCGTCTGCAGGCACAAACAATGAGGGATGCCATATGAAGAGAGCAAGTTTCTTGCATCGAGTGCGTTAATGCAGTAGTAACCTGGTCATACGGAGGGACCATGTTGGCAATGTTGCGGACGGTGAAGGCCTCCCCGGGCTGGAAGTCGAGCACCACGGACGGGCACACACGAGAATCCGCGCACGCAAACACCATGAACTGAATCAAAACCACGTAACATAAGATCATGTTCATGGGATCATAGTACTGCGGTAACTCACATGCAAGCCTCGGAATGCTCGTCCCAAGATCTTTTTTTTACTGATAGATCCCACTTGTTGATTGAAGTCATTTCGATTGTGGGGTTAACTTAATCTGTCGTCTTCCTAGATTTTGCAGCACAGAGAAGACTTGGTTTCGTTAGGAAGGAACTCACCTTGGGGCTCTGACCATCTGCGAGTTGAGTGAACAGAGCAGCGTTCTTCCTGTAAGACAATAGTTACGGTCTTACAGATGGATCGACGATGAAGAGTTACTTTTTCGTGCATGCAATCCATGTAAATCCATGGGAGGATTAAGATGCGAGCATGTACGGGGGAGATTGACTTACTCGTAGACCTCCTTCTTGAAGCGCTGGAACCCCGAAGTCAGCCGCTCCATCGGATCCATTTCCTGCACATTCACAGAGATTAAGTGGTGCACTTATCTCTCATGGAGAAAAGAGTGTTTGTGATGGGAAAGAACAAAAGCAGCTTGTAGAAGAGAAAACAGTGCAGCCCATCTAAAATCTCTATAGATCATCTTCGAATCTAAGCTATCAGAAAGAGGAACTCGAAAGAAGCTTATTCGAACCAAATTTCTAGAATGCTGAGATCAGATACGAGGAAGAAGAAATATAGACATAACAGGGAGGAGAAAGAGAAGATGAGTGAGGCATCGGTGATCCCACAAACCTCCTCCTCCTCTATCTACACCAAAAGTCTTCGAGATCCAATGTCTGGCGATGAGTTGTCCATTTTATATGCGTGTCCTACTGGTGGAAGCGTTTCACATGA